ATTTTTTTTATTAATATAATTCTTTATGACACTAAATTCTTAAAAATCTAATTCTGAATTATATTTATTTAAAAGAGCAACACACAAGTTTTTTACTCATTCTTCTTGTGATGAGTCTGCGTTCCGAATGTGTGGTAGGACAAAAAAAAATATGACTTTAAAAGTGCTTGTATTAAGTTTATTTAAATAGAGAATATTTCTATTTCTATTTTATTGATTATGAATAGATACATTTATATAATAATAACCCTAAAATTTAGACAGTGCCATCTAGTCTCAAGCTGAGCTGAGCTACTGTTATGGTCAGATACTAGATAGCTGATAGATATTGTTTTTTCTAAATACATAGAACACATCCAGACTAATGCAAACATTCTCACTCATGAATATAAATGTTTGTACCGTCCGATCGAACCCGCGACCATCGGATATCAAGCGGGATACTAAACCGTTAAACCACCGAGACCGTATTAGATATTTATTTTTATTGTTTCAGTTTACATTCACAGTGATGTGTAGAATTGAAGTTTTTTTTATCAAAGTTAATCTGTTAATCGGTTTAATCTTATCAGTAGTCACCAGCAGACCTGACGCTGTAACTGTTGATTAGATTAACTAAGAACGCACCAAGTTAGTATTATACCTGATGGTATTTTTTTAACTCATCACTAGTTCCACGACCCGGCTTCACTCGGGTGATTATATCTTTCTTAGTACATTTTGACTTAATATACATAAATTCTTCTAGCCGACCTGCGCAAGATTCGCTATAATAATAAATCTCAAGCACAGATAATATAATATTACTCAAGTAAGTGTCCTGCAGACACACTTACTTGACATTTATATATTTCGCATTTCACATAATATCTTTTTAAATTATAGCCTATATGTTATTCTGATGTATAAGCTATATTACTGTTAAGTTTCATCAAAATCCCTTCAGTAGTTTTTGCGTAAAAGCCTAACATACATCCATTTATCTGTCCATGCATACTCATAAACTTTCACGTTTATAACATTAGTATGAAATCAATTTTTTGCCAGTTCTTCTCAATTGAATCTGTATAGTGAACAGGACAATAACAAAATAAGACATTAATACAAAAACTTGACGTTCATAAACAGCTAAAATGTCCTATATGAAATGGTAAAACATGTTATCATGGATATCACATGATAACGTGATGTCCATTGTGCTGTTCATGTATAATATATAGGTTAGTTTTGACACTTTGGCCGGCAGTATTCTCATTCAAATATGTAAAAAAACATACATTTATTCATTCAAATAAAAGAATTTTATTTGATACATTATCGTATGATTAATTTTACAAACTGACAAATAACTCGATATTCAACTTCTTATATGAAATTAATTACGTTTAAATACACTCCAAAATGGCCGAATCTTGTTTTAATCCACAACTCTACTCGATCAACTTGCTTTTAATACTTATGAGTAGTTTAAAAAGAGAACAAAATGTTTCGTTTAATTTGTAGACAGAGCAGGTGCAATGTTTCCCGCGTAAATGTCCCGCCATTTTGAGTCTATGCAACTTAAGGAATATTTTCATTATGTTTTGTTATATTATGTTTAATACGCCATCTGCCAATTATTGTTGCTTGTAATTACTCGGAGGTCTAGCGGTCGAGAACATCGCTTTACGTCCGATGATCGCGGGTTCGATTCCTCGCACGGCACAACCTTTTGTATTCATGAGTATGATTGTTTGTATCGGTCTGGGTGTTTTCTATATGTATGTACCTATTTCCGAAAAAAATCTATATATTTGTATCAGTTATCTAGTACCCATAACACAAGCTGTAGCTAGCTTAACTTAGGTCTACATGGCGCTGTGTGAATTGTCCTGAGATTATTATTACTCTGTTTATTTCGTAAATTCAGAGTAATATCTAAGTACATATATAGAGTGTACTTTTTCTCTATTTACGATTCATCTATATTATTTTACTTATCTATGGCTTAGGTAAAAATGACATCTGTAAATTTAATTAGGCATTACATAAGTATATCAAAATCTTTAAAAACATAATTACACATTTAAACATGTACTGGTATAGTTTTTTTCTTATTAATACTTCATGACTCCTTTCAGAATCGTTTTAAGCGGGTTTTATTATATGTATGTAGTATAATTACATTTTCCATATACAGCCTTATGATTGTTGGTTCCGACCATGCCCTGACATTTTATTTTTTAATTCATAGACAAAGAAAAATGTTGATCAGAATGCGAAGACATTTCAGTCTTACATCTTTTATTTTTAAATTAACAATCTTTCATTAATGGTTTATAAATCAAAATTATAGCTGTTTATTCAATTAAGTATTTATTTACGATTATCCTCTTAAGAATTGAGCAAATAATCACTGCGTTTTAACAACATTGTCTCTAATAGCAATATGAGTATTAAGTATTTTTTTTTATTTACTTACAGACAAAGATCATCAAATATACTGCCATAAATAAACGAACAATTTAAGCATTTCAAGCAGCAGTTTTAAATTTAAACGTTTCTTCAGCTTCGTAATTTGGGTACATCCAGAGCTGGTCATATACAGGTGCCTTAATGACAGGGTATATCGATCTGCTAAAACGCCCAGTCACCGTATTTGATGGCACACCCGGCTGCCAATGTACCTATTATTATACAGGACGTACATCTATAAATATACAGGGCGTTTGTTTGCCTACGTAGTACTATTATTTATTACGACGTGAGACCAACATCATTTTTTACCGACTTCAAAAATAGATGGTTCTATAGACATTCTTTTTGTAAGCATGAGAGAGAGATAAGTAAATCTCCTTTAGGTATATTTATAAATACTTTTTTTTACAAATTGTATCAATGGATATTGATTTAATATGACAATTATTCCAGATGTAGGTACAAATATTAAATTAACAAAAAAGAAACTTAAATGACACTAGAACGATCTCTTTTTTATATGAAAAAATATTTTTTAAAGAATGTATGTGTAAATACTTTTCATTATTCTTAAAAATAAAAAAGTAATAGTTTTTATTATATACAGGAAGGCAAAGGAAAAAAAACCTCATACAGCCTAATGTTATTTATAATTTTAAACAAAATATTAATAAGGAATACAAATACCGCATATGAGAAGTCATATAATATAGACATTGTAAACGTCTTCATGAATAAACATGTCTTTTTCTCTATTGTTGCTTTCCGCGTGGGTGGGGCCATTTTGGATTCTATTCCGTTGTAATAAAGGTGACGTGAGGTTGGATAGGTCAAGTCAGTCACAGATCAAACAGTTAACATTTGACATGCAAAGAATTGATGGAATTTTCTAGAAAAATATATTTGTTTAAATTATATGTCATTTGACATACCAAATTAATATGAGAGGTGACGGTAGTCGCGCTCCATATATATATATCGTAGGTAGCAAATAATCATACGGCCCACCTGATGGTAAACGGTTACCGTAGCCTATATATGCCTGAAACACACAGAGGTGCTCATGCTCGTTGCCGACCCTTAAAAAACCTTAATATACCCTTCTTGAAAAACCCCACGCCGTAGTTTTGCGAGAAAACCTCGGCAGGTAGTTCATTCCACAATCTAAGTGTACGCGGGAGGAAGCTCCTCTGAAACCGCACTGAAATATTAAATATATCTTGCATTAATCAGCTAATGTAATTCTAAATGAATATTACAATAATATAAAAAAGAGGTTACTTGACCTGTGCCATTAAAAGTTAATTTTAAAGCAGACGTCTTCAACAGTTTGTACTGAAATTTTTTATTTAGGAATTTTTTAACTATGTCCTAACCATACCATTCAAAGTTAATTTTAAAACAGATATCTTCAAAAGTTTATGCTGATTTTAATTATTTAGAATTTTTTTACCTTTGACCTAACCGTACCACGTATGTACCAAAAGTAAATTTTAAAGCAGAAATCCTCAACAGTTAGAGATAAATTTTTTTATATTAGTTTTTCTATTATAATGGTTTCACTCCTCATCTATAAATATAAATTAAAACAGTCATAACATACAGTTTTAATTGCGTGTATATATTATACATAATTGCCATAAAACAATGAGCTAGGGCCCGTCAAACGTTTCAAAACTAAGAGTCTTTGAAAACGGCTTAAAAGCAGTTAATTGAAGGCCAATGTTGATCCGAGATAGTCATCGCGATGACTTAAGTATTTTCAATGAATATTCACTGTTTAATACTTAAGTTTTAGGGCTCTGTAGTCTGTATAAGTAAACCTTTTATATGGAGACTAGTAACGGCTGTTAAGGAAGCGAAAACTGTTACTAGTTGCGTACTAAACCGTAGTTTAATAATTAAGACCGGTTAAGTACAAGTAACGCCGGTTAAAAATGGTAATATATGGTCAGTGAGTGCGTTTTATTACAGCGTTTCTTCTTCTTTCTTATTTCTATTTTTATAAATGATATTTTTTTTGTGATTATAAATAGTATATGTCTCAAGAATTAGGCTTCAAAATAATCATAAATGTTTTTTAAAATCAGATTGTTAATGCGTTTAAAAATCTGAGATTTATTGTTATTAGTAAAAATCTTAAAACCATATTAAATATATGTATTCATCAAAATTTACTTACCTGTATAATACACATATAAATATACGGAACACTCATTTTATTAATACAGACTTACATTAAATAGATTTTTTGCTGTAGTGTTTTAAATGTGGTATTGAGGGTTTCGGGTTTTATTAATCCCTTTGGGGATTAATCGTAATGCTTTTGAGGGGTTTAAGAGTAAAAAATAGGGTTGTACGGGTAGTACAACATTACTTTCTATAGGTCTTCGAGATGCTTTAAAAATGAGATAGAAACTTGAATATAAGCTATGATAGTAGACACTATGTCATAACACATTCTACAAAACAAACATACATACAAAAAATTTAATTCACTTTTTATTATAGAAAATTTTCATATATTTGTTTCTCACTTCCAGTACGACGAAACCCTCCACGGTGGGGGATACATGGAGGGAGGCGCGATGTACCACGAGCACAGACTGACGCACCCCCACCTCCCTCCGGTGCACTACCCCCCGCCCGCGGCGCCCGCGCACGCGCTCCCCGGCGAGCCCCTAGTCCACAAGAGAGACAAGGATGCCATATACGGGTGAGTTTGGTGGTAACGTGTGATTTTAATACTATGGATAATATCCCCTCCGATCGATCTCCGTCCCCTTCGATCGATCCCCCACATCTTTCGATCGACCCCCCTTCCAGTTCAAACGTGTATCGGAATTACGACGCCCTGAGCCGAGGTTCGAACCCCTAGCAGTCCCTTACAGTAAAGTCGTATCCATCAGACGGGAGTTGAGGGAGGTCTTCAGCCGCATAAGTCTTGTGGATTTAGAGTGCCATCTGCACTCGCCCCTTATCGTCTGTTGAAGCTGTAAAGGCCAGCTAACAGCATTAGAGTAGTCCGAAAAAAAGCCTTCTACGATAGGATTGTGGACTGTATATATAACAAAATATATACAATGTATCTACATAGAAACAGCATATAAATGAATAATTATAAAGGCCGGCAACGCACTTGCAATTCCTCTGGTGTTGCGGGTGCTCATTGGTTGGTTGGCTCGGTAATCACTTACCATCAGGTGAGCCGCATGCTGATTTGCACAGGGGTGTGCTATGAAAACGGCTTGAGCGATTTTCATGAAATTTTATATGAGTATTCGGTGGAACTTGGAATCGGCTACTATCTATTTTTCATATCCCTAAGTAATATGGGTTGTCCACACTTAAAAATTTTTTTTTTTGGAACAAAATATTTTTTATATTTTTATAATGTGGCATTAAAATACATACAACCCTAAATTTTCATCCTTCTAGCAACAACCCCTATTCTTTAATAGCGATTTTAATTTATATTTTATATCGCAAAACAACGTTTGCAGGCTCCGCTAATACCTATACCTATATATAAATTGAATGAATGATAGTATGTTGAAATTCAAAAACATGATCAACGCCTTAATCGTACTATGCTACCAGATTATCACCATACGTCACGCCTTATCAGATAATCCTGTGTTATCATTTAGCGATACCACTCCATAATGACTGGGTGGTAAATGGTGAACTGTGATCACAATTTATACTTATCGATTACGTAATTTCAGTATAAGCCCGTCGTGGAATAGTAGTTTATTACAGAATTTCGTACAAGAGGTCGTGAGTACGAATCTGGCGGACGCATTTACAATATTACTGATGGCCTCGGTGGTCTAGCGGCTTAGCACGCCGCCTTACTTCCGATGGTCGCAGGTTCGATTACTCGCACGGTGCAAACATTTGTATTAATGAATATAATTGTTTGTTTGTATTATTTTATTGTATCTATGTATAATATGTATATATTTACAAAAAAATCTAATTATTAATATAGTTGTCTAATACCCATAACACAAGCTCTACTTACCGTGGGACTAGATGGCGCTGTGTTAATTGTCCAGGGTTATTTATTTTGTTTATAATAAGGATTTCGCCTGATCCTACATTCTGAGCTGAAGTTGTTTGTATTTATCCCTTTATTGTGAGATATCCAAGATATGTATCATGAGGCGCAACGTTTAGCACTTAAGCATCCATTTGCCGCAATCTCAGGGTTATCAGATCAAAACTTGACAAGAAACTTGAAAGAGCTTCTGTTTGTTGTGTGGTGACAGTGCGAGCGTATCGCGATTAACAAACGCTACCGCTTATGAATTATGGAACAGATTCTTAACCCTTAATTCCTTACTAATATTATAAATATGAAAGTACGGATGTTTGTTACGCTTTCACGCAAAAACTACTGAACCGATCATCATGATATTCTATACAAATATTTTTGATTCAATGCGAGCGAAACCGCAGATAAAAACTAGTAATATTATAAACGCGAGAGATTGTGAGTATGTATGTTTTTTCTTTTTCACATAAACTACTGAACGGATTTCGATGAAACTTTTCAGTAATACAGCTTATACATTAAAATAACGTAGGCTATAAATTACACGCGTGTGAAATCGTTGGCACAGCTATAAATTACATAAAAAACACAAGCAATAATTTAGACAGATTAAAAAACAATCAAAGTGGAGCACAACTCAGCATATCGCTGGATAACATAGTTAGTAATAACATAAATATTTTATAAAATTCAATATTTATTGCATTAAATTGTTGTTATATAAAATACTATAGTAATTGACAACTAACCAATTATAACTTAATTATGAAATGCAATATAAACACACTTTTTTACATTGCACTGAATAAAATATTTTTCTTTCTTTCTTTCTTACACACGTTTATTATCAATTATACTTTCAATGAACTATAATTTTATATTATTTAACAGATTATAGTTTGTTACAATAGTAAATAATTCAACTAAAACAGCGAGTTAGTTAGTATTACTTATTTATTATATTCTTTAATAACATTTTATATATATTCTTTAATATACCAGATAAATTACAGGAATTATAGTTGAATACTCAATATTTATTGCATTCCATAATATTACAATGAAAGATGTTTATAATTCGTTTTCGATCATTATGGACCCTGTTAGGGCACGCAAACATAACATTATTATTATTATCATAACTAGTTATAACATATAATGTAATATTATTCATCCAGTTATATATTGTAATATACATTAATTAAATGTTACATAAAAACTAAAATACATCATTCAAATAATCACTTACATTATAATATTGTTTTTTAAATAGTAAATCCTTTAAGTATTTTATAAATAGGCTATTCTTATTTAAAGTTCTTATAGAAGTCAAATTCAAATTCAAATTCAAAATATCTTTATTCATGTAGGTCTATTACAGACTCTTATGATATGTCAAATCTACCGTCAGTTCGGAATGATATCGAGATGAGAAGAACTGACAAGAAACTCTGCTCGTATTCTTTTTTTTTAATAGTGGAACATGTTTATGATAAATACAGTTATTAAAATTCAAATTTGGGAGAATAGAGTGACCACCAGCATATACTATCGCAAAGAACAAAAAATTTAATCAGTGTTCACAACCTGAACAGACCAGTCCCCACAAGCAACACCCGTTCACGAGTATGACGTATGAGCCAGCCATCATTGTACTCAACCATATTTGAGGGAGCACATCGACCCGGCCCACCACGCCCCCAATATATATATATATATATATAAATATATATAGTTGTCAGAGTAATAGAGTAGAAAAGGCGGAATTGGCGCGTATGCAATCTTTTCCAGACAATCTTTAGGTAGAGAAGAAAAGACAAAATGCTATCTAGGCTAAACATTTCGGATTCCTTCTATATATGTATATCATCTCCTTATGTAATGACGCATGATTTACAAATAAAGAATCTTGAATCTTGAAAAAGTGGTAGGTGGCGGTAGAATAAAAATAGTAGTGTTTTTTCTGTTGAAAGCGTGTGTGTTCTAAATAGTAAAGTAAATACAGTACATTGCTTTGCGTATTTTTTTTACAATCTTGCCATAGATAAAAGAAAGAGAAGCAAAAGAGTGAAGAGCAAAATAATCATACAAAAGAAAGCCAATTTCGAAATATCATTAGTTCAATTTATCTACTATTTAAGATGTTTACAGTATTCCTGTAGGTTGCTGATGATTAAAACACCTTTGCTGGACCAAAACTAATTATATTTATATTATACAATAACTTAATTACACTGAGCAACGTATAGCGTCTGTTAGACAATATCGTGGAAGCAAGTTAGTTAAAAAGGTATTCAATGGTGCCACCCTCTCGCACTCGTGCAATGGTATTACCATAGACATAAACATAAAATGATTATTTGTTGCTAGCAACATTTTCTTCTTAATCCTTCTTAGATTGAATGTATTACGAACTGAAGAGTAATAAACATCCATCCATACTCATAAACTTTCGCATTTATAATAATCTCAGGACAATTCACACAGCGCCATCTAGACCCAAGTTAAGCTAGCTAAAGCTTGTGTTATGGGTACTAGACAACTGATACATATACATAGATATTTTTGTAGATACATACATATTATACATAGAAAACACCCAGACAGATATAAACAATTATACTCATGAATATAAATGTTTGTGCCGTGTAAGGAATCGAACCCACAACCATCGGACGTTGTTCTAGACCGCTAGACCACCGAGGTCGTCATTTATAATATTATAAGTAAGAGTACATGTTTACAAAAATTTCTTATTGCAGGTAAATATATTTACTAAACCTATAGCATAAGGCGTTCCGCTAACAGTGGAGCCCTACACTGTCCGCGTACTAGAACTATAAAACTGATGGTATCTGGGTCACGTCCCCACAATCGGGATCTGATCAGATCCGTGCATAAAGGTCGCCACTCTCTCAATTACCCTATTTAGTTTTATAATATACGTTGGAAATGTGGCAAAGGCACACATTATTATGTTCGACATACAGCTGTAGGATATCTCTATCAAGTTATTGAACAGTTTTTTTTTTGTAATAATTTACTTCTATAGCGATTACTTCGATAGTGATTCCCATAATTAATGGCGAAGCGTTTTAAGTACAAAATAATCAGAAGAAGAAGTATACTATAGAATATATGTATCTTCTTCTTTGTCGGTTCCTCAAGACTGAGGGTCGTGACCACCAGGAATGCTCCTTCCAACCAATACTCTCCAGGCATTTCTATCTCCAGGCATTTGTATATTTTGTTTGACTGCTTCTCGTACAGGATCAGTCCAACGTGCAGGTGCCCTACCTCTGCCCCTTCTACCGTCCACGTGGCCTAACATTATATTTTTTTCCAAATTATCTGGTTTTCGGCGGGCCACGTGACCGAAAAAGGTTGGCAGACCCTGGAAGCACACAGTAGAGAGACGGGTTCTGATACCCAGTTGTTCTAAAACAGATGCTAAGTGCGGCGCTCCGTCCATGATATTCCTAACATTATATTGTTCATATTCCTTATATATGTATAGAAACAGGTAATTAGTCAAAATCGACCTTATGACTTTGTAAATTAGTATACATTTTGTGCGGAATGCGATCATTTTTAATCAGGGAATTAATGAAAATATTATACTTAACATGAAATGTAAAATATTAGAGGTAGTAATAAGTCGTCTCACATAGGTTGAATACAATTTTTTTAAATAAGTAACCCTGAACAAAGTGAACAATTCACACAGCGCAAGGTAAGCAGAGCTAGTGTTATGAGTACTCGATAACGGGTATAAGTACTTACGTACATTTTTTTTTATATATATCCATAGAAATTAGGTGTTAAATAGGAATCGAACAAGCATCCATCGGAAATAAAGTCGTGTGCTAAACTACTTTGTTTTTGAATACTGGATTTTTTTTTAATTTACTAACAGTGCTTGCTATAGTGCGTTTTAAGGTTGTTAATATTGGTAGCTATTATTATATTAATAATTAAAATCTAAGGAATCGAACCCGCGACAATTCGATGCAAAGCGGGAATGCTGAACCGCTATACCACCGGGGCCGTGAAGTTGTTAATATATAGTACTGTGTTCCAGGCATCCGCTGTTCCCCCTGCTGGCTCTGATCTTCGAGAAGTGCGAGCTGGCGACGTGTACGCCGAGGGACCCTGGGGTGGCAGGCGGGGATGTGTGCTCCTCAGAATCCTTCAATGAAGATATCGCAGTTTTCAGTAAACAGGTAATTAATGAAAATTAACCCTATTCCCATTATATATAAGTTTGAATTTTGCGCGAGATGTAAAAATTTTAAAATAGGTAATTAACGAAAGGCAACCCTAGTTACATATTCCTTAGTTTGAATTTTACGCGGGATGTGAAAATTTTTAAAATAGTAATTAACGATAATCAACCCTATTAATTTGTTCATTAGTTTCAAATTTGCGCGGTAGATGATTAGTTGGTACTCAACATATACTCAGGTTTTAGTTTTTGATTTTATTTTATTTAAATTGATTCAGCTGTTTTCATGTGAAACGGTAGACAGTACAGACATATGAACACGTTTCCATTTATAATATATAATAACGTTTAGAAATGCAAGTATCTAAAATCGTTCAAAATTTTTATTAAAAAAAAAAGTATAATCTAAGTGCTAAAGACGCGCTGCCATACCAAACATTCAGCTCTTTAATCGGCCTCTTTAAATAATTCCAATCGACAAACCGCGATTAACTAAAACCAATTCGAAAAGAGCCCGAAAAATCCGGCGCGGTCGTAATAAAAATCCATACTTTCCCAATTCCATTCCATACACAAAACCCATTCAACGCCACACGAAAATTACACTCGAAAGAGAGAATGCCGGACGGAATAACTTTGTACGGACGCACCTGCTTCCATTGCCCATCAAAATTAAAAAGGAAAAAAAGCGCGCGAACTCATTCGGATATTAAAATGTCGCGCACAACATGGCGGCTCGTAAATCAGTAGTAGCAATTTCTTCAGTATAATGCTTTAATAACTATAAAGCGTAATTAGTAACGGGAAATTCTGCGTCGATTGGATTGTGGTTTGTCGATTATTTACGCGTTTTACCGTCTCGCTATTTGCTCTGCATTATGTATTCGACTGGAGCCAGATTGATTGTTTATAGGAAAATTCGATGGCATTGCAAATGAACTAGTATTATCAGTAGGTAATAATTGATTTGACGCGTTTTTATTAATTTTCTGTTCAGCGATAACAAGACAATGTATTGTACATAAGATACTTTGTCATTATACGTACGTTTATCTAAATGTACATTAATTAATTTATATAGATACACGTGTAAATTATTGATATTACTATAGCCAATTAACTAAAGTAAAGTAAGAACGTTAAATATTCGAGGAGATTAGTTCGTATTGAAGACGAGAGATAAGAATAGTTGCTTTTACAAAATATAATCTGTCAGCTGGCGGGCTGCACAAAAAATGTCCCTTTTGCTAAAACTATGCAGCGGTTCTTGGAAGGCTAGGTAGGTTCACCCATAAAAAAAAAGATGGTTGGTGATAATATACAAACGAGTTCATTTAATACAAGAAAGTATCATCAAAATTGTCTTTAAACCAACATTTCATTACGTCGTTCCCGGTAATAACATGACAAGGCGAATCGACATAGTAACACCTATTATTTGGACAACAAAAAAGACATCATAAATGGAGCCATTTTATAACAATTCACTCGTAAAACAGGTAATCTGGATACAAACCGACAATCAAGGGCCTTGTAATTTATTTTACAAATTTATATAACCGCAATTTCTTTGTGGGTTTTCTTTTTTAACACAATAGACACAATGAGCGTTGACATGCTGCGGTGGTATGCAATTTAAAAAGAAACACTTTACGTCTTTGGCACGTCACAAAACTTGGTATAACAAAATATTGGTTAGTGAAATTGCCGGAAATGGGTACTCCGATATTCCAACGGAATGAAATTCCCCTGTAGAAATGTTTTATTAACGTTATTGATACGTTATCAGTCAAAGACTTCATATTATGGTAATTATTGAAATTAAACTTTATTTATAGGCGCAATATTGTAAGTGGTCGCGACCTGAGAGACCCGACTCAGATAACTCAGAATAGATAGATAACTTGTTAGTGTCATGGAACTGACCACTCTCTTATTTATATGCCACATTTACATTGACTTAGGTTTATGACATAATATATTAATAATAAATATTACAATCTAAACACAAGCATTCAAACTTACATTTCTATGTTTGAATTATAAAATCACCGGTTGACAGGTAACCGATAGTGTTATAAAAATTATCGCTGCAGATTACATAGTAAAATGTCACATTTATCATGTGTTTGGACATGTAACTCGTACAGACGCTAATCGGTTTGTTTTAATTACTCCAATAAAACGTTTATCGGTAGCAGTAGCACGTGAAATCGCCGCAAAAAGAGATAAAAATTAGGCCCTCCCGCTCTAACACTGTTAATAAGTGACGTCCATAATTCATCGCCACACGAAATAAATCATAAACGGTAAAGTGTTTATTTTCAACGTACTTAATATGTTATAAATTTATTTAAGTGGCATGCGGTACGATTGTGGAGTGAGTGATTGATATAGTGCTCTCTCTGTGGCGAATGATCGGTTTAGTTGTGATACTGTCATCCTTTACTGTCATCGATACAAGCGGTGCGTCACTGGACGCCGCGTAGTGATGCGATCGAGTGACTCGTCCGAGTAATCGAGTGCGTTGACACACGATGAATTAGTTCGCTATTTTACTGCCCTTAATGGTATTTAGCATTTTTATATCGAAACATTAATAGCCGAGATTGTTGCACTTTGTCGAGAAATTCTGATATCAGGCAGCAATGTTGGACATACGTATTTATATGTCCCACACGATGTTATGTTCGATTCTTCTACAGTCTGTTATATTATATCTTCTATAATTAAAGATATAATAGCGTGACGAATCTAATTAGACGATTGCTAAAGTATGACAATTCTAACATTTTTTACAATAACGGCTTTGTAATTTATAATTGAAGTAAAATCAACCGAGATATTAAAAGTATATATAATATTTTAACGAGTGTAACAAGAGAAAAGGAAAAAAGTAATCTCAATTATGTTTAATTATATATAGCATGAAATTGTAAGCTATAACGGAGTAGAAAAAGGTAATAATTGCAAGAATGTTAATTGAAGACCGTTGCGGGAGTAGATGGTGTCAGTATCTGCTGACGTTTTTGTTTGTGACGACTATTGTAATGACTTTTATGTTCCCGTACACGTTGGCATTACAAACATTACATTACACGGTTGTCCAGATATGACAAACTACATATTTGCTGATGGATCCACTACTAATCATGAATTTAACTTTTTGCTAACCGAACACTAAAAATTTCTCATCATTAGAGTGCTTCCTACGTTTGCATTCCTTGTAGTTTCTACACCGTTCCTGTTTCACTCCATTGACGTCACTTTGTAATAATATATGCAGTAAATGGTCTAGTTAACTAACTTTTAGCAATTATATGAAATTGCTTCATTCCGTATACAAGTGCAATATTCCATATCTGCTGCGTGTACGATGCAATGAACTGAACTCGTGATCACGTTACGGTATTATGCTCGTTGCACTCTTTTTAGAGCAGTTCACACAAAATAGATCTTCTCACAGTCATTAAGAACTGATAACTTAACCAACCACACTTATGTATGATTGTAATTATTTTCTTGATTGGATTCATATTTACATGCAATAAAACCATTCGCGCGCTTGATGAAACTACCAGAAGCCAATGAACTTTGATATTTATTCAGTTTAATGTCTGTAACTGCTACCTAATATTTCCTTTACAACTTAAAACAATATTAATTTACTTATATAACTTTCATAAACACAAACAGCGCAGTGTTATTACAATTAACTAGCTTACAGTGGTATCAATAAGGAACAATAATGTTTAACTGTATTAATGTGCGATTAGAACGCGATAAATAAATAAGTCAGCGGAACCGTGAAGTATTCACGTGGCGTTTCCCTAACATTTAATCACTAGTCATAATTACATGGAGTGAGTAGCGCCGGAGAAAAAATATAGGCTCAATGCATGAGCGCACGCACGTCCTCTGCTTCATGCTGATCTATCCGTAGATATCTCGTGACTTAAGTCGTTTTATTTACGATTATTATTCACCTTTTTAATGATTGACTAGTAGTGAATCAGTTAATTTGTAACCGCAAATCCGATGTTTTTTGGTTCTAATGTCATTCGCAAAGAATGACGTGAGAACATAAAAAGGTTCTCTGTGCTGATTGACAAAGATTCTCATTGTGTATCTATCACGCGTGGATACATCAAAAGCATTTGAGATTGTATATTTGTTTACATCTGTCCACGTTACGTTTGACACTATAATTGTCGATTGTCATGGGATTTGAACGCGCAATTTAACTTCTTTGTCATCATGATCCAATTCAGAGTTTCGCGCCGAAATAATATAAATAATGGCGGATCAATCTGTGAACGTTTCGCGCAGCTGCGTCAGCGCACTGCACAATATTCATTAGCCGCGCGCGCTAGAGTGGAACCGCGATACGATACGTTTTTTGTCTCTTGCTCGCACGCAGCACTTGCATTTTTTTTCGTCGATGCATCGGCGATTTCGTTTTATCGTCCCCATCGAGTGGTTTTTGCCGTTTGGAATTCCTTACGCATCTTGTTTCGGGCTCGTTTGTGGATGAAATTGTGCTGTGGACATTTTCAATTTCTCTTAGAATTACGTGGGAAAGGAGAGAAAATGTCGCCCAATTGGATTCATTCTGTCCAAATGAATTTCAGCAGTTGTAGTTACTCGCAGTTTAAATATTTGAAGTTGTTCCAAATCTGAATCGTTTACTTTTACAACTACTTTCGTTTCTTAATTGAAACAGGTTTAAAATATTTGGTTTATAAATAAAAATATCATATAAGAAACATTGGAAATTCAATGAACTTCATTATATGCGACCTTCAAGCACTATTAAGGCTAATGAAATCTCGTCATGACAACAATAATAATTGATGAGTTATTCAATGGTGCGGACTATTAATAAGCAGTCTACTAATGGCTTAATGACTATTATTCTTGTAACTGCCACTTGTCGCGAATATAAAGATAAAAAGATCTTCCCATTTTTGTAGATAGGTATGAATTTCAATCATTCAA